GGAGATGTACGCGAAGGCCGTACTTGACAAGTTCGGAATGGCCGACGCGCACTCTACGAAGACGCCTGCGGAGGCTGGGCCTATCAGCACCGTGGAGGAGAAGGTTTTGTCTCCAGAGGACACGGTGTACTTCCGGTCCGCCACGGGCAGTCTCCTGTATCTCAGCAGGGGTTCGAGGCCGGATATTACCCACTCGGTGATGGTGCTTACGAAGAGCATGGCGAAACCGGGTCCCAAGGCGATGGCAAAGCTGAAGCGGGTTCTCAGGTATCTAAAAGGGACAACCACTATCGGGATCACATACACCGAAGACGCCGACGGCGGAGACAAGCTAACGGCGTACGCGGATTCTGACTTTGCCGGTGACCAAGACAAGGGCTACTCCACAACCGGTGTCGTTCTCTATCTCGCAGGTGGCCCAGTGATCTGGATAGCCAAGAATCAAACGGTGCTGGCCATCTCCACGTTCGAGGCAGAAGTCGTCGCGCTGTCCAAGGCGTGCCTCATGGTTATACATTTTCGAAATTTGCTAGAGTCGTTGAAGATGAAGCAGAACCGCCTTATTTTGCTTGGAGTGTGAGTACCTCCCCTTACCGAGATCAGACCATATGTCTTAAAAGGGTTGGACGGTACATGGAATTCGCTGCCCAGAAAACTCTGGCAGTTAGTGATGAGTATTCAATTTGAATTGTTCGAGAGCATGCATTCATGTTGATAGCATTTGTCGAGAGGACACTGGTATTTGTTTCGAGAGGACACTGAGAGAAAGAATTTTGTGTCTTATGTATCAGAGCTAGTCATGACGTAGTTCTTGAGAGGACATGTTGGGATTTGTATGCAAGAACTGACTCTATTCTACTGCATGGGTTTTGTGCAGTATTGTGAAGGCGTGTCTCCAAGTCTGTAACCGTCAGGTGAAGACAGCTTGGGCGCCTGTGTTTTGGATCTAATGATCACTCTGTGTTGTATCTACCCAAACTGCGCCACCACTGCCAACTACACAACAAACAGCAACTACAATTCTGTTGTCACTACCTTCCTCGCCCACACTCTCCCACATGGCCTCCTTGATCGCTATACCCACACCGTGTACGCCCCTCTTGTCCTTGGTGCCAGCACGGGCGCCGCTCCAGATTATCACGTACCCGTCGTGTGCAATTGAACCTTGCACCTCTCGTCGGGTCTCCTGAAGTCCTACCCCATCACAGCCGGTCGCGGAACAAATCTGCATGATGTGCTTCGTTGACTTGAAGAAGGCGTATGATTCGGTGGACCGAGAGATGCTGTGGAAGGTGCTGGCCAGGGCCGGTATTGCCGCGAAGCTGATCGAAGTCATCCGCCAATTCCAAGATGGAATGCGAGCCCGGGTGCGCATGGACGACGGAGAACTATCGGACTGGTTCTTCGTGACACAGGGCGTGCGACAAGGATGTGTGCTATCCCCACTTCTGTTCAACATCTTCTTCGCCGAGGTCCTCGAGGTCGTTGTCATCCGATTCAGCGAGCATGATGTTGTTCTGGGGAGCCTGGTGTGCTTGGAGGAG